CTTCACACATGTCTCCAATACCTGTTGTATAAATTATACAAATAAATATTATACTATTTACACATTATAACATAGCAAGTATGCTTATATTACATTAGAGCATTTGCAATAGTCCCATCAAGGATACTATTGCTTTTGTCATAAATATAACATAATTGTCATATAGTATACAATGGTTACTCTAATTAGCATTGATAATTTAAATTATTTGAAGGTCAAAACTGATAAGTGACACACTTGATTAAAATACTTGCAATATTATGATATTGTCATAAAGATATACGTTGCATCGAGTCATTTGATTATTTAAACTTGATATATTTGATTCTATTAGATTCATGATTCTATGCTAGCAATATTGTTAGAGTCGAATAATACTAACAGTAAGTGTATACATGACTATAGTGTAATTTTTGCCTGCTGCCTGATTGAGTCTACGTTTGATCGCTTTAATAGCATCTTTTGGCCCATCCTCGGTTTCGTTTATAATGTCGCATATCTCCATATTAAGTGTCCAATTCTCACTCGGTAAACTACCATCAGTAGCAGATTCTGAAATAATAAAAAGAAGAACACTGAAGATTCGAGTTACGACTATATAAACTCATTATTCAGAGTATTTGGAAATGTTATAACGAGTATACGATCGTAGTTAAATTGATTCATTAAAACTAAAGATAAAATCATGTTTCGAGGATATACTTGCAAGTTTTTCACAACCGATTGATTTCTAATGTCCGAAGGAATAAAACATGTTATCTTGGAAAAATTTCGAAGAAAGAGAAATTATATGTTCGCATTTGACATAATCTGACGACGACGAACATGAATAAAAGAGACTTACCGATTTTTTGTCCTACTTGCGTAGAAAAGGGATTGCCTACTCCAAAAAGTGACATTTTCTCGAAATACGTAGAACCTGCGTCGTGTTAACTGCCGCGTTTTCCGCCGTTCGCACTTACTCGCACTCGCGCACTCGCACTAGCATACGCGCGCGCCCGCGTGCGTGGTGTGTGTGTGTGTGTGTGTATGTAATATGTATGTATATATTTTATGCTCGCGTATGTGTATATACGATGTGTGGTGTGTGTGTGTGTGTGTGTGTATATGTGTATATATGTATATATGTATTAATGCCCGATCACTGACAGAGATGACAATTGGTGCACTGACGATTCGTCAATTTCGCATAAGACCGATTGACAGAATCATATGACCTATGCAACGATAATAACAACGCCAATGGCAACGGCAACGACAACACGTCCTAGAGGCGAATCAAGACGAGCAGCTGTCACAAAAACATGTGAATGCCAATCGGCGATTTGCGCCTTACTGTTCTGCTACGTCTGCGATAAATGCGAAACGCCCTTTAAATAGCTCTAC